AATGACGTTTCGTTGGCCAACAATTAAAAGTAGTTCCGATACATCGGGATTGGTGTTGTCAATGTGAGGTCGCAACCTTTCGTAGCGATCAAGCATTTTGATCACTCCGAGCCAACAATTCTTATTGCGTTTAACAGGACGCAATGAACTGGTCATGCGCAATTGACTAGCCTCTTTCAGCGTTGACAACTTGAACATCAGATTGCTCACCAAATCAACCTCTGTTTCTAGATATCGATCAATATAGGCTTTGACTGCCAAGTTCAGACGATGGCCGCGACAGCCTAACAGTGGGAATCAAAGTAGGTCTGCTGTTGCACAATTTGTGCTGTAGTTGTCACCAATCAAACGAATGAGATTGCTGACAGGCAGATGATACCAATCCATTGTTTCCAGAATAAAATCTTGGTGGTTGGTTGCAGTGGATGTAGTTTCGTACAGCAATGGCGCAAATGCCAACAGATGGATGTCAAAAGAGGACGCTGCCGCATCTTTGGCGGGAAAAGTGATGTATAAACCAATAAAATGAGTGGAGTCTTCCGTCCAGCCATCAAAGATCAAGGCATAGCATTACGTAGCTGAAGCCAATATTGTGATCTTTTTTTCAACAGCATCCACCAGCAGGAACATATACTTCTTCAGAGTTTTGGAGCAGATCTTCGGCAAGTTCGTGTTCTCTCTAGTACGATCTTTTTTGCAGAAATTTAGCTCGTGCTCGTCCATGACTATACAATCCAGTCATTTGTATATATCGCGCGACTTCGAATCAATCATATATTTGAGCGTGATTTGCCCAGCTCCATTATTGGAAGAATGTGATCTGCTTGAGGATGATTCCAAAACAAGCAGCGCGCAGATCTCGAAATAATCGGGATGCTTGCTCTTTACGTGGCTCATAAGGTTATTATACCCATTTTTAATGACATCACATTTCCGTTCTACTCCACGTTTACACTTCCAGATGTTCTCAGAAGAAGTAATCTTACCGTAGAAGAGGCGACATATTGACTTAGATGACGGGGGAACTGTTGGTCTAGTGTTGGTATTGCTTCTCATGATCGGAGATGCGAATCGTTTTGCGGAGTGCGCTAGAATAAAAAAAAATAAGATGGCACCTTGTAATCAAAGCACAATACCCTAATCAAAAAAACTAACTAATTGAGCTGCAATACTCTAATTGAGTCATACACGTCGGGCCATAGCGGCCATCCTGTTGAGCAAAAGTTTCGGTGTCTAGGAGTTTTGTGGAACAATTTACTGTAGAGGAGGGCGGCAGAGTTGGTAATTAGGGTGGTCAAGGAGGAGGAATTTCCAAGGACTGTCCAGTCAGTTGTCATCGGGACGCGTATCATTCTCAATCCTAAGAAATCTCCTCGCGTCGGATTGCATGAAGGTCTGGATCGATCTCTAGAGAAGCACAAGCTTATGATACTCTAAGCAGTTGCCTGAAGAAGTTGCTGATTATACCCTAAGCCTAATCAGAAAACTCATGACACAATCTCCGCATTGTAACTACCGATCATATGTACAAGAACTATGTCTAGAACATGGTCGATGGCACACAATCGTTGGGGTACCATTGGGTAAAATGAAACATAGCGGATACCATCAAACAATTTAGTTTCCAAAGGAGTACCATCAAGCAAACTCTCATTTGAATGAAGCAATAGTATTGATATTGTATTGTCATTTTAAGGAGCCACTATATGATATATTGTTATTGGAGACACTACCAATACAATATATTGGTTACAATATATTATAATATATTGTTAGATAAATATATTATTCCCTATCTTTGAGCGCGTTTCCAGTAAATGTAGCTTGTAATTGTAGAGTAAGGATGTGTGCGTAAATGAAGGGAAGAATAAATATACGCACCCGCGTAGTCTCATTTAAGTAGTTTAGGCATATGAGGATACGATCGCCTACACTAAACAGGCCAGCACATGAATGATAAATATACATGCATGCGAATCAAAAGAAAAAAATGCCAACAATATAGAAATTATAAGTGATGAAAGAAAATGAAATCTCACTGCATGTTTTAAGCAAGTATCATAACCGTGCATGCTGATTTACACTCTTGCGATAGCGAGAGGTAGAGTAGACCTAGAGGTACAAACACAGGCTGATGAAAATAAGAGAGAAAAGTGATTTGAAATTAGACCATACATAAACATTGACTCCTTCGTGTATCTGAAAACCACAATTCAGCGTATAAACTTGGCATTAATGTCATCTGGCATTGATCAAGATCAAAACTGTTCACTTATCTAACTAAGCTCAACTAAGAAGTTGCGTTACTTCTTAGTAACGGACCGGTTGGAAGTTGATCTCAATGACATACAGTACAATGAAGTCCATAGGCCTTGAGCTATGCATCTCTCCCTCACTCGCATTTCGCAGTCATGTGTGTCGTTGTAGAATTGGCGGTGGAGGTTCATCTTAATGGCATACGTGCACGGTTGACGTAGACTTGGTACGTTTCGCGTGGATGGGTACGGACAAACATGGATGAGTAGTCAACTGTGTATAACACCACAAAATATCATGGTATTATATACTAGTCTGTCGAGGGGTCACTACTTTAAGACTTGACACTTGTTTCCTTCCAGATCGAGGTTCTGAAGTGCAGGCAAGAAATCCACATCACTGTTGTGCGATGTTCGCATCTAGTCTGGTTTCGTAGAAAACGGAAATTCTAATTATGAGATATTCTCACCAGATTGACTCAAGATGACATGAACTTAAGATTCTATTCCACTTTCAACTGAATACTAAATGCTTTGTAGAAAGAGAAGAAAGGAAGTGATAACAATGGGTATTCTTCCCAGATCTCTCTAACAGGAGGATCCTGACACTAGCAGTGGGTGATAGGCAACAAATAGCGAGAGAGGTTTTAGTATCGAACGTTTTTCGCCCAACTCTTACGTGTGTGAAGACAATCCCTTCCATTGGGGATCGGGGATGGGTTCAGCCAGGGGGGGAATACAGCCTTAATTCGAGTTCCTCTTCCGTTGAAATACTCCTTCAGAGTCTGGCAACCTTGATCATGTGCAGCTAGCTGTGAGTCGGACGGGCATTTGTCCAGACTGTCATCGGGCACTAGACTGAACTGCGATGATCGGTCGAGAAGAGAGTGATCAGTTAGTGGAAGAGAATGGCCGGCAGTCATCATTTGCGATTGGTGGTGTTCCTTAGCCAGTGGAAATCTTGACTCTGACTTACTTCTGTCTAAGAACATGACTCGAATCTGAACTTCTGAAGACTCCGACATGGAGAAATCCTTCCTCCAACTAGAACACTGAATGCAGTAGGCATTAAGTGAGGAAGGACTCGTAGTCTCGTGCAACTGAGAGAGGCTATGTTGCAGCGTAGGTTTCATTGTGCAGTTTAGACGGGGGTGACACACATAACGAGGCTACTTCGAGAAATGAACCCCTCATAGATCTGAGCTTTCTCCACTGTCGGATGCAAGAGATGCAAAGAGGGGGCCGCGTGATTGCGTCACGAGTATCTCGTGAGCTCTTTATCCAGCCAAAGTGCACGAAGAAGAATGATCGAGAAACAGAGCACCGCCCTGTTTCTCTATCATTCTTTACTCGTCAAAGTTCACTGGAGAGCAACCGATACAATATAGGACATTGAACAATAGACCGAGAAGCCCAATCTAGAAGGATCGATATTAGGATTGAATGTTGGAAGATCCTTCTTCTTCGTTACTGCTCTAAATGCTCCGTTTTACTAAGATGACTGCCACTGACCACACCAAGTACGGACAACTGTATCGCTTATTGGGCGGAAATGTTGCCTGCACACTTCAACGAGCGCTCTTGTATGTTACCAATAAGACCTTAAGATCCTGCGGATGAGCATAGTGTCAATGACTTGAGTGGACTCCGAGACATTTTGAACCTTGAACTTCGCATCACACAAGTCGCAATAAGACCACCATGTGTTCCGTGACTCTCCAATTCGGCAATCTCAGCTTTCAAGTAACTGGTCTGGCTGCTTTTGTCAGACAGTTAGTTACTTGAGAAGCATGATGTATACCCGAAGACCCTTGCTGGCAGGTTCTGATTTTTCGAAAAAAAAGGACCTCCAAGTACAGTCCATACTCGACGAAAACATTCCTTTTCTGGTCCTCTTCCTGTATGGGAGCTCATCTATCCTAAAAAATTTCCAGACGAGTTAACTGTGTATATCGTTAGAACTCACAGACCTATAACTTTCATAGGGGAGAGGAGTGACCAAGGAGATATATTTGGTAAATCCACACATTTCTTTTCGTGCTCTGTTAGTCTCTACATAGTTGAGTGTTTGCTTCGAAGATTTCAACTATGTAGAGACTAACACGGGAAGAAAACACTCCACTTTCCTAAGCAGCATCGTTGGCGAAGGTGGCAATATAAAGCTGGAAATTAGATCTAAAGTGATGTGTCCAAAACGGGTGGCAGTTTCAGCGAATTTGCGTTATTTGCGGTGCCTCCATTCTTTACATCCAGCAGTAGAAAGCCGCAAATAACCAATCTTGTAAGAACGAGATTGGTTATTTGTTCTCACAAAGAAGCCTTTCTTCTGATCAATGATGGACACTGGTACGGTAGTACAGGTTTCGGCCGAGACTCACTTTCCTCTGAAGACGAAGATTCAAAGGTGACAAACACAAAATCTCCTTGGATAATGACACGGTTGTCATTACGAAGCATTACTAGTTGCCACGGAACGAACACATAAGCACCGCAATGATATCCTATCCTAGTGGCCAATATATGACATTCTGCTCCACGGAAATACTAAGACCAATCAATCTTAGGGGGAAGAAAGCCGGAAAGTGTCAACGAGTGTGGCCACAGTAGCAAGTGTTTTTTGAAGTTAAGTTCAATGATCGCCATTGGCTCGTTTTGTACGATTTACCATATCCAAACGGTCCATCATTTTGTGCATACAACACGACATGGTATTGGAGTAAGAGATATCTAAGCATAACGAGCCGGCCAGGAACTTGCAATAACCGAAGGCATACTGGAGCCAGAACTTAATGTACAAAATCACCAAGTCCCTCAAGAACAAAGTTAGTTAGACTGGTCTAGTGAATTACTCTACCGGCTTAAAAGCTTCGTCTGCCAAGTGGAGAATGTCATAGGATAGTACGTCGACTCGTAGTCTGCTACTGTCGGTTACTGATGCCTTCTATGATCTCTCGTCAACGTTGAACCCCAATCCTAGTTTGACCTCCGAGAGAGGAAAGTGCAGTTTAGGTTCAAGTTTCAGATCTGAAACCGGCTTCGTAGACAGATGTAAAACTAGTCACTAGCAAGGCTGTGTGACATTTTGCTGCTACAACGCATCTGTAGTGGTCGACATAGACTTCACGGCGGCTTTCCTACATCTCGAACTGTACAATAGAGTAATCTACCCTTCTATTTCCCGCGATCACAGGCAGTGTTCGTGGTAGATCCTCGTCCCATAAAACCGATCACTCTAGCGCAAAGTTGCTCTTTAGATATGAGAGAAACCTTTCCGAAAGTCCTCAAATCAATCTATAATTTGGTACTTCATCTGGAATTTTCGGAAAGATATACGGCATGATAACTTGAACGTCATCGCCCTGTGGAATGTCTGACGTGAATATCTCTCCTTTCACAAGCAGCAATGTCACATCTGTAAGTTGTACTGATGTTTCTAAATTACGACTTGAGAGTTTCACGCCTTGAAAATGCGCAACTTTCATGTGTGTTGCGCAATCTTGAGCTACGGCAACGAGTGCCGCTAGTCCAGTGACTTCGCTTAATTGCAAATGCTGGTGACATCAAGCAAAGAGCAAAATAACACATGTACAAGATCTGAACGTTCTCTGTTACCATTGTTAAGAGATTGACTGATGGCACAGATCCTCGTACATTCTATAATGTCTCCATTCAAGGCATTGAGACTGATGTGAACTTGCTACAGGATCTCATACTTGCCGCCACATCATGGCACAACCCTCGGTGCTGCACCCCGCCAGCTATTACCAATATCAGAGATCGTAATTAGGCTTTACGTTTCAGTGGGCTGATATCACGTGTTCATGCAACAGTACCGTTGTGCTGCGGTATAATCTGCTGTCAACCGGAAGTCTTTGCTTGATGTCACCAGCACTTGCATTTAAGCGAAGGCACTCTTTGCTTAAAGTACATCCAGCACTCTTTACCCTTGAAGTCATTGACGAGTATCACCGACATGCACTGAGCTATGTTAGAAGAACTGAGGTGACACAAACTAGAGACTTCACAGCGGAACTGAGAAGTGCTTAGATGTGGCAGATGCAAAGTGTGCACCTCGCATTGTTTCTGTGCAAGGCGAAACTTAAAAACAAAAATTAGCGACTCACGCATTACCACTAGATTGAAATTGCTAGGTTAGCAAAAAATGTAGGAAATGAGCTATTCCTCGGCGCAAACGTTTCCGGCTCAGTCACGTTCACAGACTTGAGTCAGTCTCCTGTAGAGTTCCAAACTCGATCACAAGAACCGGAGATCGTCAATCTGCATTGGTAAAGTGACGGGCACTTAAGTCTACCGCGTATAAGTCGAGGCTGTGAGTTAATGATTCCGCAAACTCTTCCATATCCAACGTGGTTACTGTGGCAACTTTACTCTATCAATGAGGAAGCATGAATCTGTCTACACCCTCCACACAACACAGAATAGACTGGCTCCTACATTCATAACCCAAACCGTCAGTTCAACAAAACAGCGTTCCTTCAACCTAACATGGAGTCACATCAGGACAACGAAGCGACCAACGACAAAGTTACAGTGATGGACTCTACGACGTCCCTAATAAGGCTCTAGGAATTCCTCGGTGCTGTCACCGAAGACGTGGTCGCTCCGGTTACCGAGTCTCTGCTGTTGTCCTCTGTCTCCCCGGTCACTGGCTGTTAAAGCGGAGGTTCAAAGCTGTCGTCAAGCCTGCCAGCCATACTGCAGGCGCTGGTTACAGACCATCGCTACTCACTCTGCGAGAGGACGGACGACCTTATCCCTGGCGCATCCAATCCCTCGTACCCTTCATTCGGCCACGGACAACTACAATTCGCAAAATGACCTGTTTCGGCCGCAGCAGCGGGGGGGCACTCAAGCCAAAATCGCAAGCTGTAGAGGCACTCTTTCTTTAAAGGTACATGCTTCCGAGGGAGGTAGGCACGGAATAGCTCGACCTCGCATGAATTCCACGAAGCAAATCGTATCAGAACCGCCTCCGGTCGTATATTGCGATGACGGGCAAGCATCTCGGAAACTCTCGACCTCCTCCTCCTCCTCCACCGCTGGTGCGCACATCGACGCTCTACATCTCCGCATTCGGACACAGTGGCTCATCTCGCGCCATGTGATGGGCGCTTCGTCGTTTGTGCTGGGGGCAGCTCGAAACCGCAACCTGCTCCTCTCCTGGCTCTTAGGGTTTCCACGTTACTGACCGACTCGACCCAACTCCTACCGCAGTCGACCAGTATCGTCACAAGGCGCGCCTTTGAGTTACGGGCCGGGTCCACTTCGGCACGCCCGATCTACAGAAACTTACCGAACGTGTTTGTTGGATTCGTAAAAGTCGAAATGTAAACCCCTTTAACCACCCAAGCAAGGGCTAGTTAAAAAATCTGCACAAATATTGTTGCCTTCAGCTGACGAAAACCGTTATTTCCTCCTGCTTTTCCGTCGAGCTAGGCTCCAGGCAAATTTTATTAAAGCATGAGTCATATCTCACCCGGGCAATTTGGAAATTTATTTGTGAAATCATTCCTTCGTGATTAACTCAAGTAATGCGTTAACGATACCGACAAGGGATTATCGAGAATGACATGTAAAATCTGCTTACGTGCCATTGTCGTTCTAATTTCGCAGAGGGGATGAGTCTGTGGATGAAGGAGTCTATGCCCTCGAAGCTTTATGGTCAAGATTTATTCAGTAGTTTATATATCATATTGGGTGTGAGTAGCTTTGAACATTCTTACTATGCTCGTGAAGAAAATCAAGTTATGATGTTAGATGGGATGGCACCGTAGAACCTTGATAGCAACAAAAGAATATACAGCCAAGTAGATTAAAAGCAGACGAGGGAATACCATCAAAAGTATGCAACGGAAGAATTAACCAGGTTTGCAATGTGACCAGACTACATATAATATATAATTCATCAAAACACTGAATCATTATATCAGTGCATACTGCATAGGCATATATGATGTATCGATGCATACGAGTATAGGTTTCTATTTTCATTGCATCAAAATGGACAAACTTTATTTTTGAAATGTAATATTTATACCAAGAAATCAACAATATTGCCGAAGTTATCCAATATATGTAAGGCTTGCAAACAAAAATCTGATGTACATTTTTTTGGTGCATTTTCTGTTGAAGAGATAATCTATATGATTTTTTTAACCTGTAATCTTCAGATAAGAGTATCATAGCTGTAACTGTCAAAATTTTTTTATTTAAAATATAGGATAAATAAATAACTGAGTATATTGTGGAGCCATACAGTTTTCTAATGTTGAACCTTCATCATGATCCATTTTTTCTTGTTATAATTTTTCCTGATTATTTAATAGTTGTACCTAAAATTGCAAGAATCATACAATTATGTGTAGGTTGTTCCAATTAGAAATTTATATACATGAAAACCTTATATGGTTCAATTCCAAAAAGGAATATTCACACAAATGCTTAAATCAACGCGTGAAAGACATTGTTTCTAAACGAGTCTACATTCATACAAACTTTTAGTTTACTCAAAATGATACTTGTTCGGGTATCGTGTGTGCGGACCCCGTTGGAACCTAAACTACGTTATGGGATCCATCAAGTTTCGGGTTACCTGATGGTACGCCATGGAAAATACATGTCACGCTTGTTCTCGTATGAACATACGGTACCGTAGCTATGTTGCAACGCAGTAGAACTCTTTTGCCACTCTCAATGTTAGATGTTCTGTCTCATCACAATGGAGCTCTGGATGTGAATTTGTGTTGCGATCGTTGTTGATTTTTCTGGAATCTATCTATCGATATGTGCTTGCAGGAACTCAAAATCTGCACTCGAATTTGATGATCGATGATCTTCATTGCGAGCTTGAGAGAGAAGAAATGAGTACACTGGAACCTAGTCGAAGTGACATGGCAAAAATCTGAAAGGCGATCGAAACAAGAAATAATTCTCAATCACTTGACTTTTTCATCCCACCAACCTCACACCACTGTAACTCGTATCATACTTATACAAAAACACATATTAGGAGATGTGATGTTGTAACGTCCCATCGGGTAAAACATAATTTGATGAGTACCATTAAGCAATTTACATTACGATGTGATCTTATCAAGTAAATAAATGGTAATAGACGAGTACCCAACGAGTCAAAAGGCTGAAAACCACAAACAAGGGAGAAGACCCAAAGGACAATCCCTAGCTAGTGTCAAGAACACTAAAATGTTAACTTATAATGTCCCTAATATAACAACCTAAATCAAAAGAAACTAAGAGTAATAAAGAATAGAAATTCTTCACATATATATTACCTCTGCATAATCCAATAAGACAGCCAAAGAAAAATAATAACATTAGTTTTTAGTAGACTGGTTCTTTTATTCAATTCTTTTCTGAGTCGTTGACAGAAAATTCACGTTAGCTTTGAGCCATTGAGATATTTAACCCACAAGTGGAGGAAGAATGCATAAACTTGGTGTCCGTGAATAAGAAGGATGATGAGTATCAATATTTCTGTTGACTAAGGTGGATATAACATATGAACGTTCACAGCTTCGCTGGTAGTTTGATGAACGGAACGTACAGTAAGATGAAAATATAATTTGAGTTTACGCAACTGAAGTGCAAACGAAATTTAATTGTACGGGCAGAATTTTTTTGTAGTGTTATGACATAATACATACAGTATACGCTGGGGCAGAGGCTGCAAAGCCACAGGCAAGATGGGAGTAGAGCCAATTTCAGCTGGTGTTGAGTACTCTACTCGGTCAGCCGAATCAATTGAAATGGATGAGAAGAAAAGTGGACAGTGGTCCCGTGAAACAGGTATATGACTCCGATGTGCTTTTACTTGGCTGTTTCTTGAGAAACAAGGTAGCACATGTGATCGCAGAATCATAAGAGACTTAGAAATTTTCAACAGGAGCCAGCTTAAAAGATCCTATTTAGGTGCTTTATCCACTGGAATATAATTGTTTGGTTGTTCTTTGGTTTATGGTTTGAGGGTTTACCAACTTTGAGGAATAGAGCAGAAAGCATGGGAAGACCATTTCTTTGAAGAACCTTTACGCGGTTTGACAAAGTTCGAGTTAGAATACCCTGGAGGGTGAAGTGCAGTACACTATACAGTATGAAGGCCTGTCTACCATCCTGCTGGTGGATGCCGGATACGTTCGTGATGTGGTTCGTGGTTCTGAAATCATCGACCAAGATGGTGTCTCCGGCCCAAGGGCATGGATATACCCCATGTATGTATGTAGACGCTTTTCACCTGCTGTAAAAGCCCGGCCACTCAGGAACTCTCGGTGGCACTCACGTAAAAGCGAATCTCTCTCATTACCAGAGTTCTACATTCCAGGTTGTCCAGTCCGGCGGGTCATGCGCAATCATTAAGAGCCACGCAGATCATAATTGGCCCATAGCTGTCGACCATGTCATGAGATACATCCGCAGATCGTCCTTGTCAACGTGGACGTTGCGAATTCGGTAGAAAGTGATCTAATGTTCTCATTTCCCATGTTCCACCCAACAACAAAATGGCACGTGCAGGATTCCCATTCGACGACAATAAGGTCTTCCTCATGTAAAGCTCGAGCGCCCTCCCCGAACCAACGGATTGCAACTCTGCGTCGTGACGGAGGAACATAACTCCATACGTGCAGCTGTACAGGAGCGCCACGTGTCGAGAGGCGCTCTGTTATTCCTGCGCCAGTATTCGAAATCCCCAGGAGCTGTCGCTAGCGCGGCTGTCCGGTCGGTCGCGTCGCAGAGGCGACCGGGGTTCGGGCACTCAGAACGGTCTGCAACTCGTGCGAACCGTACCCGATCTTCTATGATAAATACCATTCTTCGAAGGCAACTGGCTGCTCGTCACCGGCAACTCGCGCCCCACCGGGCACTGGTGCTGGCTTAACCGAAACCGGTTGGACTTCGGCGGTGTGGGTCCACAAAACCGTCGCGTCCGACCCAGTCGAACCATCGGACTCCATCCCAGGCGCGGTGGGGCCTGCCGAAAGTACAGGAGTTTCCATTCCGGGAAGTCTTCACCTCCACGTCGGACGTGCAATATGAGGAAGGCCAATCCGAGGCAGGTAGACCCGCACTCTGTGTGGGCTGTCTGGTCAGGGCAGCCCAGGCGCCCCGTCTGGCCTGGCCTGCCGGGCTGCCCGTCCCAGGCCAGAGCAACTAACCACGGACGACGCGCGGAACAAGTCGGAGCTGGCCCAGGGCAGCCCGCGGCTGCAGCGCGAGCAGGCGCTAAGAGATCGCAGCACGAGGAGGAGAACTAAGAAGAATCAGGCTGCTCTCTACAAGATCAGGGACGAGAACTCTAGCAGAGGAGGGAGTAGGTGTTCTGAGCCGGGGCAGCTGAGGCGAGAGAGACTGGGAGCGAGCGAGAACGAGAGAGGAAGAGGTTCTTTGGCATTCGGGGCAGAGAGAGCCGAGAGGCACATAAGCAGCAGAGAGAGCAGCGGGCGGGCGCATGGATTGAAGGAAGTGGATCAGATTGCAGATTAGATCCATAGACTGTGCGTAGCGTCGTGCACGAAATGGGACTGGAGAACGGGGACGATTCTGTAATACCTCCGCAGGACTTGCTGGAGCGTTTCAAGGACTATGGCCAGGAACAAACCCTTGCCTACTGGCACGATCTCACTCCGGAAGAGCGGGACGTTCTTATCCAAGATCTTGAGGTGCCTGCTTGATCGCCTGGCCTGGCTGCGCGACCTGCCGCTCACTCTTGCGTCTTGTTTTTTGTGTTGATCTACCCTGGTTGAATGTGATTGTGAATTGGATCGGGGTACCCTATGGGGCTGTGTTGTGGTTGGGTGTGGGTGGTACTGAGGTTGTGAATTAGGTGGGAGGCTTTGTTGTGTGTTCTGGATAGTTCGTGGATTGCTGCTGGCCATGCAGACGAGAGGAGATGAGTGGTTGTCAAGTCAGGGCGCCCTCTTACAGTCTCTTCTGTAAATGGTGTGCTAGCTTTTGGTCGCTGCGGTTGGTCGTCATCTTTCTTTCTCTTGGGGAGCAGTCATTGTTGTTCACATCATAATTGCGCACCACAATGCACCGTGGCTGCGATCAAACGGATAGTGGTCCTTCGCTTTCAGTGTCAATGTCTCTTAACACGACGTGGCTCCCCTCACGTCTTTATGATGACAGAGATGGCGTCTTAAGACTGCAAGTACGGTGTTTTGCGTACGTGCGATGGTACTTTGGTGACCTTTCGCTCGAGCTTGCAGGTGGAACTCAGCTCTTTGTCAAGACTCGTAGCATCAGAGAGCCATTCTTAAGATGCAAGGTGGATAAGAAACTATACTAGGCTTCCAGGACGCCCTGCAGCATTATGCAATTCATGAGAGCAGTCGGGCGCAATTTTTCATCATAAGACAATGCAGCTTTCGGACACACAAGCAGGGAATTCCAACCAGCTGACTGCCTGAGAAATGGTCAGGATAGGAAATCAGTCGATAAGACGTAGGATCTCGCATCCCGTGAATAAATTTCTGAAAGTCCGATCGCCTTGCTTAGCGAATCCAGGCAGAGCTTACGTAGTGGATCCTAGTAACTCATCCCTGTAAACTATATAGACTTCGTTGCCTGCAATTCAGTGTCCAAAGAGTCTCTTAGGCTGACGGATCGGCTTGCTATCGAGGAATGCTCGGATCTGCTGTTATCTGAAACTCAATCCAACTGGAATAGTAGAATACTCCGCGAGATACTGATAAGAACTAATCGATCGGAAGCTGCTGTTAATTTCTGCCTTCAATTCTACGATCCAATGCAGGATGTCACAATGATAATCTCGTCGAGCTTCTTACAGTTAGAAGGCAGCCTCGCTTCAAACTAAGTGCCGTGAAGAATCATTAGATCGTCGTATGCTCGCTTACAACTAGGAAATTCTGGTGATGAGGTCGTGGATGATCAGCGTTGGCAACCGAGCTCCTGTCTAACTTGAGCTGGAAGTAACATTCTTGAGTATAGTATAGAAAGATAAGAATTACCAAGTCGAAGAAAATTCTGCAAGTGGACTAAGAGATAGTTAAGGAGTAGTCAAGTAACTAATGTACAAGCTTTACATTTATCTGCAGTCGGTGGACCTTCCTCGAGTATCTCGAATCGTGAGGAAGTCCTTGAGGAAACAAGGTAATAAGAGCTCTTAACAGTGTTGTCATCGTCATCATCATCGAGTGGTAAATGATGTTAGTCAGACAATATAATTCGCTCGGCGCATAGTAGTATGGTTTTATCATGTCATAAATCAGCGAGTATTTTTGGACCACAGTTGGCTTTTCAAATTTAGCTTCATTATTTTAACAATAGTCATTTCGGAATTTCAAATATTTTCCTGCAATGACCTCATAGCCAGCTCTGTATGTCGAAAAGGAATTCTGCGTCTAAAGCCTTTTTCTATCGAAGTGTCTTATGATGTGCGATTTAGTGACGGTTTGTTGGGAGGAAATCTGAACAATACGTCCTTACTCGCCGTTTCTCGTACTTTTAGATAAACCAAACTGTCAGCCTATACTTGATTCGGAGGTGGCCACATTGGACACGAGAACGCAAGATGAGAGAGGTCGATGGTGGGGGATGGGTTTGAGGGCTATTTCTGAAGGCAAGCTGGCTGTTCTGCTTTTATCTGGAGGCCAGGTAAGCATGTGAAACTCGGCCGTTGATATTTTTTGAAGGTCTTAATTGTATTCTCGGGAGTATTTAGCTTTTCAGCAAAAGACTGTCGCATCAGTTGGAATATTTATTCGCTTATGAGTATCTTTGTGTGGCATTTGATTCTCCTTGCGAGGATATAGTCTTTCTACTTGAGATTCTGAAGGCTCCGTCTTCAATCTGTGTTATTAATGCGCGTTTCTTCCCATATACTTTCTCACTGCCGCAGGGAACTCGTCTAGGAAGTAAAGATCCTAAGGGTTGTTTCAGTAAGTGACTTTTCATCTACTTGTTCAAATATTTGCTATCCGGTTCAATTGACACGGAGTCAGTGCTTGTGTTGCCTTTGTAGTCGGTTTATGCACATTTCCTTATTTTTTTAAAGATGGGTTTACACTCAAGTCCACGCAGGAACACAGTTGTCAGCGTTCTTACTTGTCCAACAGTACTAGTGAATTACAAATCTTTGCTTCTAATCTCACCGAGGTCCTTGACAAGTCTCATCTGGCACGCGGTTACTGTGTCGAAGTTTCCTCATGATGGATACAGGCATCCAACATCGTATCTTTCTTAACCTCTCGTAATTTCTCATGATTTCAGATATTGGACTACCTTCTGGGAAGTCTTTGTTTCAGCTGCAAGCGGAGCGAATTTTGAGAGTTCAAAAACTTGCTTCCCAGTCAACTACAAATGGTATCTTCAGAGTCTTGTTTCTTCTCATTGAATACGATACGGGTTCTTAGGCTGTAGGCGCATCCTGTAATGCTACTTGAATGCTGTATCAGATACCAAAACGGGTCGAACGTCCTTTTCACCGGCCGTATCTTACTCTGGCAGGGAAAGTGGTGAAGGTGCCATGGTATATCATGACGAGTCCATTCACCGACTCAGCAACCAAAAAGTTTTTCCAAAATCGGAAATACTTCGGTCTAGAGCAAGATCAGGTACTTCACTCATGCAATGACGTGATGGACAGATCTTTCTACAGTTGCTGCCTGTAACATATAGAGTGCTAGACTCCTGGATGTTGTACGCCTTATTCATGATTGCAGAGAAACCGATTTGTTTCGAGTGTTGAGCATATCACTATATGAGCCGGGGGTAACATGGGATTTGCGGGATAGAGTCAAGAATCCACCCTATGCGGCCCCCTGGTTTACCCCGTTCACCGATCTGGGCTACTCGAGTGCTCTCAGAACTGTACGAAATAGTCGTTGTAAAACTAATGAAGGAGCATTGTTCCCCTCATAACTGCAACTGCTCACTGGTCAGTCGGAATTTGCCAGGTGATGTTTTTCCAGCAAGGTACGCTTCCGTGCATATCTAAGGATGGTAGATTCATCATGTCAAATCCATATAAGGTACCATTCCTCACGTCAGCTAAATATTTTACTCAACTCTCAGTCGTTTGTAACTACCCGTCAAAGTATTGCACTTGGTGTTAGGATGGCGTCTGTGACATTATTGGGTCGTGTTCTTTGAAATAACCTGTACTAGATGTAAGTCTTGTCTCTTTGTAACCCGATTGACGTTGGTCGGATAAATTGTTTGTGCAGATGGCAATGGCTCCGGATGGAAATGGAGGTGTTTATGCAGGTTAGTGCTTGGAGGTCAATGTTAGTGTCGAATCTGGTTTATCGAATAGTCCGAAGTTAGCAAGGCTTTCAAACAATCACATGTTTAAATACCACAGATAATGTTGAGTTTAGCTCAGTAGCTGTATATTACTGTCGATAGGTCTCCAATTGAGTGAGTGAACGTCAAAGGTATGGCATGATAGTTACAAATTACAGATGTTGTGTCCGGTTTCTTTTCCACGTGTCCTAGTAAGGTGTGGTTATTTGTAAGAGAGTAAAGAGGACTACATTTATTTCACTCTTAGGAGTTTCAATTGAGGAACACTGAAAAGCTCTGAGTATCTTCGGTAAAAACCACGCTTGGAATTGTAGACAATAATCGTGTAGTAATCTCTACTGTGATGACTGGCTTTCCTTGTTTCAACAGCTCTAAAAAGTTCCCGATGTTTGGAAGACATGGCCAGAAGGGGTATCAAATACGTGGACGTTTACAGCGTTGACAATACACTGGTAAGAATGAAGCCTTGAAGATGGGAGCTCTGCATCTCCCCTGGACCTTGACCAATCAAGAGGCATGGATAGCATAGACGGTTTCGGTCTGTTTCCATGTGAGAGTGATACAGCGTGTATGGTGTTGGATCCTTCGCTACCGTCACCCAGGTCCCGCCTCTGCTGTGAGATGGCGGTAATAGATCATTCTATCTGGTTCTGGAAGTCTTATTTGCGTAAGTTTTTGGATCTTATGATAGGTCCGTGTTGCAGACCCACTTTTTTTGGGTTACTGGATCGATCAGGGTACTTCTTGCGCAGCAAAAGTGATAAAGAAGGTGAATACCCTCACTCCTTTTTCCTAAGAGCATAAATGAAGAGGTCTTCTGCAATAAAGTTTGTTAACATTCGCTGCTCGCACTTTCGAGTAATGACATGACATCAAATTTTAGTATATCAGAAATTCTGACAACCATGAGCTCTTTTACCTTTATTTTGTGAACTTTTGGTTGCGGAACCTACGTATGTGATTGCTGACCGCAGAGATTCCATTCATCACAGTTCTGGGTGACGTGGCTAACTTGAGTCTGAGTAACGACGTGCGCTGGCAAGAATTTTGTTAAGTTTGTATCCAATCTTGTTCATCATAGAATTGCACGTGGAAACCATGCTTTTAGCTTTTAAAGGGTAACAATCCTGTAACCAGCTGCATACATTATACTTATTCTTTCCCTTTGATTGTAATTTGCCACATCAGGCATACCCTCAAGAAAGAGTAGGAGTCTTCGTACATCATGGCAAGGGTGGCCCCGTCGGCGTAGCAGAATATACAGAGTTGGGTGCAGACTTGCAGTTCGCCATCAACCAGGAAACCGGCCGCCTTGCCTACAAGTGGAGCAATGTAATGGCCCACTTGACCGTCTTATGAATATGCAGTTTGAATAGACATAATGGATGGGTAAAAGACGCATATCTATTGATTAGTACAGAGGCTATGTGCCCTTGAAGGTCTTCGTCATTACTCATGTTCGGTGGTGGTGGTGGTAGAGGTTCAATGGATATGTTACTGTATCCGAATATATTTGACCCTTTGGGTCCCACGGGCTTGATCTATTTACCATTTACCATTTACCATATGGATACTTCGTAAGACAACCTATGAAAGTGATGTCTGGAAGTATTTGACATGTATCACCCCTGAACTAAACCTCATGAGAATTACTATTTCTAGTTTCAATGTGGTTGTTGTAGGTTAGCAGAACATGGTACCATGAGAGCGTAAGAGCATTCTTGTTCGAACTTCTCATCTTTACTGTCGTACTTTGATGCTACAATTTGCGATGAATTATTTCTCGCATAAATTGTCTGTGATCTTCCACTAACCTCCTAACAGTGCAATTACTCAATTTAGGTTATCATCATATGCATGTCTCGTCATCTTAGCGATACGTTCAACCATCATATGTTATTGTTTTGTGTGTCTTGGCATAACGAACTTCTCACGAATTCCTGTGTTTCAGGTTTGCATGCACATGTTTTCGTTGGACTTCCTCCACACAGTAGTCGAGGAACTTGAAAAGGACAGCATGTCGGTAATCTCTCTCCTTCCCTCTATTTTTGTGTTTGTGCAGTCTTCCCACTAGTGTGTTTTCAAATCCCTTTTTGCCAGTTTGTAAAAAGACTGCATAGTCTCCTTACCACAAACCACTCGTGGTTTACCTAGCACTTCACACCATAAATGTGGCCTCAAGCATGGTGTGAAGTCAAACAAACGGAAATGGTGTTGACGGCTAAAATGTCACTGTTATTCCGGGTAGAGAAACTCTTCATGTGTTTTTAGACTCCTAAAAAATAGATGGGTTAGCGGCGGGTTTCCATTTTCACAAAACTGAGGGCAGATAAATTAACAAATTTTGTAGTTTCAAGTGCCGACGTACGAACCAATGATTATGCGAATGTTTTTCAAAGTGCAGGATTCTGCGTTCGTCTTTTGCTTTCCTTCAAAATTAATACCAACCAAATTTCATTCTCGCTATTTTATCCCGAAGCACCTGGATCCTGATCGCGCCTTTTGTGCCAACAATTCCAGCTGTTCCTTCGGAAAGTTTTCCATAGACTCTGCCTATGTATATGATCGACTATAGAGTGAAAGTTCAGTTTCTGCTGATCACATTATGTTCATGTCCCATTATTCTAGGATGTGATTTGAAACCATAAAATATATGCAGGGCACACATGGTTGGTAACAGTTTCGATTTGTCTGGGTTCAGATATCACCTAGCCGAGAAGAAAATTCAATCAGTTGACGGAGTAATTGACGGCATCAAACTTGAGCAGTTTATTTTTGATTCCATACCTTATGCCCCGTCGATATCCCTCTTTGAGGTAGTTATGCGTCTCCTTGCTAACTTCCTTGAGTTCAAGAGCTTATGCAATTATTGTTTTTCACCCTGTCCAATTCCAGCTTATAGCGGAGGGTGTCTGACTGGGTTTTTGTATCAATCCTGTTGCTCTTTGGGCAGGTGATACGAGAAGAAGAGTTTGCACCGGTGAAGAACGCAAGTGGAGCGACTACGGATTCGCCAGATACAGCCAGAGCACTTCTACAGCGGTTGCATATGGGTTGGGTGGTTTCTGCCGGTGGAAGTATAGCTAATACTGGAACGGCATATGCCTCAGGTACTTTCATCCTCAGTTTTGCACAGTATCTTGATATGGATTCCTCAGCATACAAAATTGACTTCTTATTCTTGTGACTTGGCTTTTTGAAGAGATAGTTCCTAGGCTTTTCGAAGAGAGAGTTCCTAGGCTTTTCGAAGAGATAGTTATGACATTTGGGATCAACAAGCCTGTTTCCTATACATTTTTTGCAGACAAACTGCTCAAGCTTTTACTTGGATTTGTTCCCCATATTTTTGTGAAGAAACGGGTTTGAATAGTTCAGTATAGTATGCCCCAAGGCTATGACATGCACGAACTTATGAGTGCAGCTGAGTACGCTGTGGACAACTTATGAGGATCATGTTATTTGGTGCAGGCGTCGAAGTATCACCTCTCCTCTCATATGCAGGCGAAGGCTTGGAAGACTTGTGCAGAGGGCGAACTTTTCATGCATCAACTGAAATTCATGCTTAAGGTGAAGTGTTTTTGCACCTTTTAGTATTACAAACGATAGTTATTGCGTATATATTAAATTGCCAATAACTTGTTTGAGGAGTTGTTTCAAATCTTGCTGAAGAACCTGTGGCGTAATGGACAACGAACTATTAAGTATGCTACTTTGCATTCTGTGAATACCGCAGACAAGTATCAATTCATTGCTGACACGATATTGGTTCGTCTATGTAGGTTGAGGGCTGAATAAAGTACCTACTGGCTATGACGATTTTGGCTTTGATTATCAGTTTTAGTTGCGGAAAATGATTTGCAGTCGGAATCCACCACATTGAGGATCTTTCTTAAGCGTTAAAATGCTTAAGAACAGATTAGCGCATCCATACATAGAAAGGAATGACCGATGAGTCGAAGACTTTACACTGATGACATTTACATCTTTGGACTCTTTTGGAACTGAATCCCTTTTGCTGATAATGTGCTCTCACAATTACAGGTTTGATAGATCACCAGCTATCAGCTTCTAGCCTTCAGAGCCAGGTCTTGTTCGACATTTTCAGGGTGATTACGTAATTATCCTGGACGCACAGCCTGGCTTTAAAACATGTAGCAAGAATATGCTTACAAGTCCTCCTTCCTCTAGTCCTTGTGGACAGGATGGACATGGGAAATGTTCCTACCTCAGATATTTTTTATCCATAGTCACTGATGGCAATTCTTGTGAAGATTCTTTTGCACCGCCCAGTACTAAAAGAAATCAGTTATCCTTACCTACCCGAGGCAAACCACTATGTAGGTACCATACCTGCGGGAATGGTCAATGTGTAGGGTAGGCTACTGGTTTGTGGTGTCCTAGCTTAGTAATAATATTGCTCTGGTCGTAGTTTGGTCCTACCAGATCTCAAACTATGGTTAGATGCAGGTTAGATGTCATATGAAGAAGAGGGCTGTCTGCATTACGTCAGATTCTTTGATGTAGGGCAAAGCATGTCGATGTAATCTAAAAAGCCTCTTGCTACATTTACTTGATAGCATGTGTTTCTGGAAATACGGTGCAGATTTCTCGTATTTCGCGATTTTATACCATCGCTTCTCAGTTGAGATAGTGTTACATTCTTACTCGGTTGACGACCTCAGTATTCCTGGCTAAATTTGTATGATCTATTCTGCGACTTTCGTTTGCAACTAGCAATGTTCGAGTGTATGATTCATATAGATGCTGTCATTGTGGGCCCTGCGGTGATGTAATTCGTGCCATATATGAATTATGTGTCATAATATGTCATTGCATGGACATGATATTATTTAGCGTGTTTGATATGCTTATTCACTTGCAACAAAAATGGCAAAAGTATAATGCGAGGAAATGGTCGAAATTCATTATTGTGTTAAAATGTGCTCTGGGTGTAGTCACGGCAACCAAGTTCTTTTATTTGAGTTTCTATGCTCGTTCTCCAATTGAGAAATTCAACATTCCAAAAAAGTCGATTACATCGTAAAAATCATTAGCTGAATTCTGAAATTAGGTTATCTGTCATTGGCAAAATGTTTCACGGAAAAAGAAATCAAATTTCTGGTTTGTTCTGTTTAGTTAGACCCGATTCCACATTCTAGATTGTTTGCATCGAAAACATCCTTATCTAACCTTTTGTTTATAGTCAAGTGGTGAATGTGTAGCTACAGCTGTATTAGTGGCGGAGTGATGCAACGTAGGAGAGAAATCTTTGTAGCCATTCATTATGTAGTATATGTACTTTGTTAAATCACTAGGTTAAATAAATATTGGGATATGTAGAGACTAGTTAAATAAATAAAAAATATGTATAATGGGATTTGAGTCTCTATAGGATTATCTTGAAACTTTTTTAGCATAATCAAGTTTTAAAAGTACAATGCACGCTTCCGAAATATATCTCATAAGTTATGACACGTTTTGAATAGTTAATTTGAAAGTGAAGATAAAGATACTATTGCAAAATAATTGTTTTCAATGTATAATTGTGAATGTATATACTTATTAATTGAAATAAAATTTATTGTTATTAATTGATTATCATATCTCAAAATTGATAGAATTGCAGATACAATAAAACACAAGCATACATAACAAAATTTGTGGTTCGTTATTGCTAGTTACATATGAAAAAATTACTTCATGGATCCAACCAGAACGCAAAATGCTTGATGGTACCTAATACGTTCCATTTTACGTTACGGGACTTCAGTTCACAAACATTTATGTTCTCATATAAGTTCTTGTAACTACTTTGTTTCCACTTCGAGAAAAAAAGAAAATTTTTCCCAAATTTCAGTTCGCGGAATTCCCATGACTGCCAATCTTCACCAATTTCTCACGGCTGAGAATGATATTATAGCTATATAATATGGGAATTATTTACTTACACTTCTCTACTTTTTTTTTCTATAAAACTCTTGGCCGAAGTTACGTTCTCTATTTATTGTGTTTAGTGAAGTTCTCTATTTATTGTGTTTAGTGAAGTCCCTGCTTTGAGTATCTCAAAGTGTCTCGTTTAAAACTAGGAAATAACTGAACTTCGGGGAGAAGTAACTTTTCAACAAAGAGTCGCAATGGTTTTGCTAACCCAGAACAAGTAGTAGAAGAACAAGAACTGGTGGTAGAACAATGACTATAAACTCACTATCATTGGAAGGATACCATAGGGTTAAATAGAACGCATTGGGTACCGTAAAGACTTATGATGGGATCCCATCAAGTAATTCTCCCTCGAAAACTAGATTATATAAGAGAAGAGCTTTAAACACCTCTACTTTATAATGATTTCTAAATCTATTCCTAACTAGTATAAAGTTACATAAGTTTAGTTTAAATTTGATTTGATAAAAATATTATTTATGTTTTTTAATTAATATATGTATCACACCAATTTATGAATGCTTTAAATAACAAAAAGTATAGTAAGATTCAAATTCTGTATATATTCATTTTAATATCTCAATTAAATCAAGTTGTTGTATTTTTTTTAATCAAATCAACAATTTAACAAGATCTTTTTAAAATCTAAACTTTCATTTTTGAACCAAATAATTTTGTATATAAAATTGAAATTATAATTCATTTATTCATACATTAAAAATTCTTAATTATTGCGATTCTTGTAACATGATCATATTTTTCTACAATAACATATATTATCATAGCTATCACATTTATCATGTGGATTTTTTCTAATAACTCTATTATCAAGATTGTAAAATTCAAATATTTTTTTCAAATAAATTTTTTTAGTTGAATTAATTATAATCAATAAGCATATTGTTAAATTGATTTTTTCATATTCACGTTCTGAAGACGAAATAAAACAAACAGTTTGTTGTCTGCATTCCTAATCAACTCACATCAATATATATATATGTTAAAAAATTTATCATGCAAAAAAATGTGTAATTAAAAAATTTAGTTAGATAGTGATAAAATACTAAAATTATTGTAATAAGATTATTACAATCAATAGGAATAACTAATTAGTTTTTTGATAAATTATTCTAAAGCTAAAAAAATTTCCAGATAAATTTTTTAAAACGGTGGCAAATGTCACCATTAAAAAATGAAATAAAAATGAAATTAATGAAATCAAGTCTCATTAATAAATGATACATTTTAAATCTAACATTTCAAAGTTATAGATAGTACTATTCAAAATAGTAATTTTTCATCTTTTGAATAATGCACTAGATAACAATGAGAAGAATTTTAGTTATGCCAAAATATTTACTTATAACAATGAGAGAATTTAGTTCTTCAGTTGCTCTGACCAATATTAAAATGTTTTTCGAATTATTCATTTGAAATGATAAGATGCTACTTAATCTTGATTTGATAACAATAAATCAAATAAAATCAATCATTTGAAAAAAAATCACATATTGATGTCAAAGGATTTGATGAAGAGTTGGTGTGAATATTAAAAAGCTGTAATTCAAATGTATGAATTTATCAATGTTTTCATATAGGGTTTGAATGACAAGCTTTAATATAGTTTAAAATATCAAACAAGGAGATGAAATTTAGAATTTAAAATGTCATATCATTACGAAAATGATTACTTATATTGACTCGTATATTTAATTATATTGTTAAGCTTATAGCATTAATTATAGAGAAAAAAAAATAATGAAAATTGAATTTAGCAAAAAAGATCATCAATTTCTTTTGTCATCAATCTACATCATAAAGTTTAAATTGGATGCAAAAAATTTATCAATATTGAAAGTTTCAAAGGCTTCGTTCAAATGATGAAGATGTTAGATGGAAAAATGTTGTTCAATAAATACTCTGCGAAAAGGTCTAGACATAAACTAACATAAATTTCACTTTAAACTAGTGTTAGCTAGATTCTCAACCTAAAGCAATCTTGATCGTATACCGCTAATTGACGACAGAGTTCCGTTTGGATCTCATCTTTATGCACACAGTTTGTGCGGTTGGATCGTTAAAGTTGACGACAATGAATGAGAGAAATTGGTCTAGAGATTGTATTGTTGAAAGTTGATTGCGATGAAAAAGAGAAATTGGTTTAGAGATTGGAATTTTAAAAGATGACTGCAATGAACTAGAGGAATTGGTCTAGATATAGAGGAGCCGACAGCTCAAGGCTTTTTCGCCTCTTCTCACTCTTCAAACCTTCTCTTGTTATATTCTATTCTTCTATCATCTTGATTTTGCAAGAGCGAAGTGCGCAAACTTTATCTTGGAGTGGAGGTGATAGATATTGCAACATCTCTCGACTAGAACTCATGATCAAATTTGGATTTGAAGCTAACTATGTTATTTTTGTTGTAAATTGTGGCAAATTATGATGTTATAATACACAACGTTGTGAAGCATGATGAGTATAGAAGGAGCAAATCTTGTTATATTGCAGACTTCTTTTGATTGTTATCTAGTTGAGTAGATCTTCATAGGAGTATAGGTATAATGTGACATAGTTGCATGACCATGTTTCTTCTTTATTATCTTGTTTGATTGGTTGAGATTGAAGTGTGTTTAGAAAGATGAATTCCTGCAAAAGTCACATTTTTTTTTAAACATTATCAAGAGTAACATGTATGCAAGTGAAAAATAGTCAAAGAATTTTTGTATATGCTGACAAAATTACGATGATATGGTATTCTTGAATAGAGATCACAATTGTATAAGGGAATTGATTCAATTGTAACTAAACTTACTACAAAATTCATAAGATACATCTGCAAAAATTGAATATGTTGTTAGAATATTGGATTGATGTAACACTAGAATTTAGAGAAAGTTTACTCAAAGATGAAACATAAACTCTAAACATGAAATACGTCGAATGATTTTACTCTTCTTTATATAGATTGTTCAAACACATAGCCAAACATAACATCTTCTCCCCATCATCCAATATTTAATGGCATGGCGGATATATCTAATGAACACATGGGATGTTGATGTGTTGGTCTCAAGTAACACACTAACTAGTACACAAATTGTTAACATGACACCACAGATATTTCACTATCATGTACTCTACTCAAAATTGTGTATCTTCTACTTTAGTTTTAACTAACTAAAGATGGTTGCAAATGGATAATAACTTGGACATAATTGATAATCAACTAAAGTTATCGCAAGTTTTGTACTCTAAGTTAACCAAATTGTAGTTTAATTAGATTTAAGAAGTATCCAAAATGTGATAGAGTAATAAAAGTACAAATACAAAAAAGTAACAAATATGATAGTAATGTCTATTTGTAATCTTCATGCAAAACTTGCAAAGTAGCACAATGTCTTTTGAAATTTATTCAAAAAAATAACTTTGATCAACACATCAGTTGAATTCAATTTAATGTAAATCTTGACTAACTCAATCTTTTTTTTAGAAACTACATCTTTGATATAATAAAAGTGGATGTCAATGAGTTTCATTATAATATCTATCACTTAATTTGGAGCAAGATGTAATGCACTATGATCATCACAATGAAGAATATAAATTAATTCATCTATTTCATCTTAGTAATAAACTTATTCAATCAAATAGTCGCTTTGTTGCTTTTCGTATCGTTACATATTCAATTTCCGTTGTGAACTAAGCTACACTCTTTTGCAAAGTAGGTTTCCAATTAATGTATCTATCATCAAGTGTAAACATCAACCAATTATAGAGATTCAGTTGTTCAAAATCAGCATCAACGTAGCATAGCAAGGATTTGACATTGTCAAATAAGCTATCAATCAAAAAATCATAATCCTTATTGCTATTAAGTTAACTCAAAATCTATTTCACTGCTTTTTTGAGTTTGACATGTACTTGCTTACCTTGTTTATAGCTAAAGCAATAGTAGTTCTTATGCTAACCATCGAATACAGAAGATGGTTCGTAGCTCTATGATAGAAAACTGATGAAAATCTTTATTGATGAAAATCTTTTCCTTTATTAAGTACATCAAATATACATTAAAGTGAGAAGATTTTGATTTGTGTTGTCAAGATAATTCATAATACTTTGTAGTCTATCATCTTAAATCTATGAAGCACAAATTGAATGTGATAGCCTTGATTTAATCATGACATCTTGTTCTCTGAATTTTCATGAACATCCATTACTAATATACTCTAGAACTTGTCCAAATTTTTCATCTTAAATGCAGATTTCAACTGATTTTTGCATCTGTCAATGTTGAATTGATTTGCTAAAATGAGCATATCATCCACATAGATTTTTATAATAATGAAATTGAAGTTCTCATTTTTTTCATCTCATCATTCATCTATACGCTTGGATTTCATACACTTTGTGAATATCTTATGCTTTCATGAAACCATTAGCATTTTATTGTCTACGAGTTTACTTTCTTGTTATCTCATGTAGATTTATTACTTCAAAGATTCATAGAAAAATGTTGTAGCTACATACGTCTAATTTATAATCATACTAAATATTGCAGCAAATGTTTATGTCAATTAAATTATAGCATATTTTGAAAAAAGTGAAAAAACTGCTTTTTAATCTACATCTTGTTCTTGTGTAAAATCTATAGCCATGGACTTAAATTTGAGGATTTTTTCTTGTCATATATTAGATTGTAAATCGTCTTGTACATACACTTGCTATCAATTATATTTTAATTGCTTGAAGAATCTACTAGCTTTGGAATCTTGTTATTCATCAATCAATAATTTTATCTCACGCTACATAATATTATATCACTTAAACTTATTGACAGAGATTTGATATCATTTATAACAAAAAGATGAAGCTAATTGAGAGTTTTGAGATATTCTATAAAAAGAAGAAATTTTTTTAAATCAACGTAGTGCAATCATCATTATAAATATCAATGTCATGATTTTCAAAAATAAATGAATCAATCCAAAATTTATAGTGAATCGATTAATATAATTTCATGATTTCATAATAAACGATTGATTTGTATGTTTTTGTGCAATTGCTAGAGACTCATCAATAACAATATGCTTTTCTAATTTTTGTTTCCCAAAAATTTGCTCCATTTTTTCTAAAATTTACCTTGATACTCATCACTTATTCCATAATGGTCAATCTTTCATTCAACAACGTGAAGATGCTTTTGTGTACGTGAGCTTAAAAAATCTTATCTCTTTCAATGATATAGAATCATTTAAAATAACATCTATATTAACAATGACTTTACAGACTACTGAATCTCATGGCCTATAATCCTTCACATCACTAGTATATACAAAAAACTATATATTGTGGATGCAATATCCAATTTGGTCTTATTTTTTAATATGAAAAGATAAGTTGTACAGCCAAAAATTTGTAAAAAACTATAATTAATCATACATTTATGTCTTAATTCCAACAATGTGAAGAAATTGATTATAATGAAAGTAGAATAATTTATCAAATAACTTGTTGATTCAATAACTTCAGCTCAAATTCATAAGACATAGTAGATGTTCTCAACATACTATAAATCTTCTTCACTGTGACTTTTCTTCAACGTTTCTAATTGAACCTTAGAAATAATATGTTATTGCGGAGTATAAACTGTGATGACATCAATAAGTAAGTTTTTACTCTTTATAATATCTTGAAATTTTCTGAAAAAATATAGTCCACACATATATCTCATCGCATGTTCATTCCTCGTTTCAACTTGGTTTTTTTTCTTTTTAAAAATCTTATATAAATTTACTTAAAGATCTGAGATTTGTATGTGAAAATAAATCCATACAAATTTCAAGTAATTATCAATAAAGAATATGTAATACAACTTTCTAGAGAATGAGATTTTAAAATAAGATAATCTGACATCATTATGTATAAATTCAAATAATTTCTTTGAATTATGAGTTTCAACACTAAATGCTATTATATAATGCTTGTCCGTCAGACATTGTTGTCACAATTCTAAGTCAATTTTATCCATGCTAGGTAACAAACTGCTATTGGCAAGGAGTGTCAAGTATCTATAAGTCATGTAATCTAGCCTAGAATGCGATGCATGAATTAATTCAATTTGAACATTAGTATAGTTGAATTCATCACAAATCTAATACTGATAACATATGTGAATTATTATGTTTATGTTGTTGTGTGTATTGTATCTTAAGTGAAGCTCTTTCTAGTGCTTCATCTAAGATCTTTTGGATCTAACATGTCAAAACAGATAAATTTTTTGTTCATTTGATATATTGATTTTTGTTATATATATATATATATAAAATCTGACGTGAATCAATGTATTTTGAAATCTATCAAACATTTACATCTTAACGTATGCTATATCTTTATTCATATAGTATGGATCATTGTTCATAAAACTTAACCATTTGATACTAAGAAAATAAAAAAAAATTGTTTAATATAACAGATGTGATATAAATAAATTCTATCTCAAATTCATTAATCATTAATATTCTTATTCAAGTTGCATCATAAATATTTTTGACATCACACTCTATCATTGAGCAAGTCATCATTTTGAGAATCAAACTTTTGAACCATATTAGTTGAAGTAGTATCGTTACCTTTGATCTTCATACAATAATACTTCTTGAAGTGATCACTTTCGTCACATTTCTAATAGATTACCGTCGTAACTTCTAAGGATTTATCTCTAAACTTGAATATATCTCTAGATCCATAACGTGTTTTATCCTTACAATTCATTGAATATGATTTAAGTGCCCTAATGGAAAAAGAGTATGAAGAAGATGACATCATCATTTTTTGCTATAAAGTATCAATTAAGAAAGCTCTTGCAACTTGATTGTTGAATTGATTGTTTCTCTAGATCCATGACGTGTTTTATCCTTACAATTCACTGATATGATTTAAGTGTCCTACTGGAAAAAGAGTATGAATAAGATGACATCATCATCTTTTGCTATATAGTGTAGATCAACAAGGCACTCGCAACTTGATTGTTAAATTGATTGTCTATCTATCATCATGAAAAGAAGTATGTGACAATGATTGAAATGATGCAGTTAATGAGATCAAAAGTAAAAATATTTCTTTTTATCATCTATTTCATCTTTAAGATTTTAAAAGTCAACCTCATCGATGTAATCTTGAATCTTCATGACAAGATTTTTCAAGTTGAAGTTTAATAATTTTAACAAGTTTTAACTTTTCTATATATAACAAAAGGTATCTTGATTTTTTGGTGAAGTATTTAATTTTGGGTTCACATTGCATGATTTCGAAGGTATTCTGGTGAATTTGGTGGTGATACTCGAGATACATAGTGGGGAGAAGTGATAAATGAAAAAATATCTAATTGTACCAAAGGTGCACGCCACAAAACTACAACCAGACCCAGGAAGGAGAACAAATTTTGTTGATATCAGAGGAAGATACATTACAACACAGAGAAGTTCAGAGAACCGTCTGTCAATCATATACTGTTACACATTGTACAGTGGCGTCAGTCAGCCACCCCCGGCAGATGGGCAGGGCAGGGGAGCCTCCAAGTCCAATTTGCTAAACTGGTAGTTTCAACCTTTCACTTGGGTAGATGAGATCAGGATTCTTGATATTCGGATTCAATTTGATCAGTTCCTCCCACGTTGCTCTACCCGTTTTTTTTGAAATTTTTGTCAGAGTATCTCCTCGTTTGACTTCGTACAGAACTGGATCCCTGAGTAACCGACACAATCCAGACAGAGCAGCAGAGCGATATTAGAATTTCAGATCTTAAAAGGTCCACAAACTTTTCTTGTGTTAGATTTTCCTCTTTTCATAATATGTACGGAAACGTCAGGTGAATTTGAAGGTAAAGAAAGTACAAACGACTAGCATGGCAAGGACACCGAGATAATGTTTACCTGGACCGTACTGCCAGAAAAGTACCAAGGAATGCCACTGCACCGGCTATCACTGGACCCCAGACTCTAAGATTCAGATTTATTTGGATAGGTTTCGAACTTCCAGTAGGCTCCTGCACAAGAAACAAACTTTGTTGTAAATGATCAAGGTCAAAACAATGCAAATTCTCGTCAATTTGAACCTAATGAGTTGGAAGGTCGACATCGGTCCGTGTCCCTAATGAATCAAATTCCCCAAACTTTTCAGTCATTGTCTCAGCACCCGAATCATTCACATTATCACAGGTCAAACAACAACTAATCCTTTACAGAAGCCTATAGATGGCGCACCTTTGTCAGAGGCCGAAGACCATTCACAAGACCTGGCTTTGCAGAATCCCTAGCCACCGTGTCTTTCGAGCCAGGCTTGGGTGCTGCCGTATCCTTCGAAACAGACCTTGTCACTAGGCTGTTTTTGACAGGGGACGGAAGCTTTGGAGGCGCTTCGTTGAATCTCGATTCAGATCGTTCAGGTTGAGAATTAGTTAACTGAGCTTCGGAGTTGGACTTCTTCATGCTTGATTGTGATCTCAACTGTTGGTCCTCGGGTGGAGTCTTCATGTCCGGCTGCAATTCTCTAGACCGTGTAGTCCCTTCCTCTGTCTTCGGATCTTTCACATCAAGTTGAGGTTGAGATGACTCCGGCGATTTGGTCTGAGTCTGAGACGAAGCTTCTTCAGGCGAATCAGTATACTCTTCAATACCTAGGTCTTGCAGAGGTATCCACTCTGGTTTGAACATCGGTAATGGTGACGGAGATGCCGCCGGTACAAAATTGTAACTCGAATCAAGAGGATGGATAGGTGAAGACTCTAATGCAGAGCGTGACTTTCTCAAATCAGGAGTGCTCAAGCCTGCTATTGTGGCGGCTGGGGTCGAGGGTGTACTCAACATATTCCCATTATCTCTAATGGCTGGCCCTGGTGTCGATGGTGCCACAGAGTTGGCAGTGTCTGCCGAGCGAAGTTCAGAAGTAGTAATAACAGGTAAAGAAGTTTCGGTACCCAATTGAGGAGAACTTGTGGGTGTTTTAGTAGAGGACAAAAAATTGCTAATGATCTGAACCTGCAAGGCAGAGGAGAAAGAGTTAATTGCCTGCTCATAAAAGATCTAGACTGCAGCTACACCATTTGTGGGCTTAACATTAGACACTGGTGCTAGAAAGCAAAAAACGTGCAGCCTCATTTCTGCATGGATACAAAACTGTCCCGCTTACCCTCTCTGACTTTTGTATGTCCAGTTCAGGCGTAGGGACCGTGGGAGTCACTGGTGGTGTGCTGCTCGCATGTTGCAGGTGTTCTCGTATTTCCCCAACTTTCTCTTTGGGCATAGGAAGTGGTCTGTTTACATCATCAAAGTCGGGTACCTGTAGTACAGATAAGTATGCCCAACAGTTATTTATAAAAAATAGGATATAATTTCCGATTGTATTCAAACAATTTTACGGACAGGAGTCATCGATAGAGACATCTACAATCTGCCCGTGAATCCTCATCTGAATGAACGTAGATGGACAACAACAAATCGTATACGAGATTTGTACCTTTCTGTGATGCGTAAACCACAAACATGAAACCACTAAGATACATTTCCTTCATATGTTCGTAAAACCTTATAATCTGTCTGAGTGCGTTAACCGTAAGAAATTAAAGAAGCGTACTCTGATATGCTGAGCTCGGGCCCTCCTTGCCAGTGCGCGAATCGCCACACAGACGCGTCGCATGTCCTTGCCTTCAACCGCATCGGGAGGCGTGAAAAGATCGACGTCACTCAAACCAACTGTCCGGCACATCTGCGAACCAGAAACTGGGGAATTAATCAACTAGGTCTGCAATGCCCACATGACGAGTAGTAGTAACATATAGTTTCAAGAAATTGCCAACTGATGTTCAAAGTCGAACAATCACCTTCAAAAATGTGTCTACGTTCGAGTACGGTAAGTATTTCCCGCTATTTTTGCCCTGAATCGCAGCTTCAGAAAAGGCTTTAGGGGAAAAAGCTTCGGGCCCTGGGCTTTTCCCCGTCACATCCTTAATGACGTACTTCGCCACACGGTACCTAATCCATTTCAGCAGAACAGGCCACGTTCACTTTCAATTCATCACAAGGAATGAAGAAAACTGCCTCCGTACCTCGATGCGTCTGTGCTTAACTATCACGACTTTCAACGTCTCAAAAAGCAGACTCTGTGAGTTGAAACTTCGGAGCAACTCGTTTGTATGGGCTTCAAACTAAACTTTCGCCGACAAATCGAAGACAGGACATCAGCTATTAATTGGGAAGATGTACTCCCACAGTCTAAACTCGACAGAGGCTTTTCGTGGAGTACGAACTTACCTGAATTGCAAAATTACGGCATCCCCAAATTTCAAAGCAGATTACTCGGAGATTTCACTATTGACAAGTTTCACTTACACTTTCATGACAATCTAATAAGAGAAGAAGAAAGTCACTCACAGTAAGTTTCCATCGGCAATCAACTCTGCTAAACTTCGCTGATCGTCGAATCTCTCGCCAAGCACCGCCTGCAACCAAAGCTTCGTTCTTTTCTGCTCCCCACCCACACAAGCCAGCCACAGCAAATCAGTTGATGTCTAGCCACTCTGTGACGTGTCAAATGACGGAGAACAACTCTGGCAGCTATGGACAATTCTACTGAACGGTGGCTTCACCACATTTCACAAGAGAGTTCTCAAAGGGGAGCTCTCGTGTCCTCTGATCGTAATCATGGGCACCAAATTTGGCCGGACTGCCACGGAGGAAGATTATAACATAAACAATTAACATTCGATTTACTTGTCAATGACAATTTCGAAGGATGCGAAGAACCACCCATCAGAAAAAACACGGTACAGCAGACATCCCGTAGCTGAACGTGAAGTCAGATTTCGAACGTTACGGCTACGGGGAGCGCGCAAGAGACCGAGGCGTTTGCGGAAAAAAGGGCAAAGGAGATACGAATGTCGGTAAGAACCATAGACCTTTCGCAGTGGCGACGACATAGAATTCTAGCCATGGTTGAGAAAGATAACTGTCAGGCTGACCCGAGACATGCAACGACGCATCTGAACTTTCTTCAGCTACGTCTGGTTTGCGGCAGATTTGGTAAGTCAACTACATTACACATCGAATCTACGTCATGCAAGAGAAAACGACAAATAAGTCGACAAAAGACTCTTCGCAGACAACACCCCGAAATCCACAGGCAACTGCAAGCAATACCTGCAAAAACTCGATATCGTGCTCTCTAAAGTGCACGTTCGTTTCCACCGTAGTCATGTTTGTTGCCTGTAATCCTCAACTTGGTATCTCAATTGTCAAAATTTCCAAGTCTTTGCTGATCAAGCAGCCTTCTCCTGCTCCTCTTCGCCGCCCTCCTCAAAATCCCCCAAGACCCCCACCGACAAAAAATCCAGAAATCCGCATGTTTCCAACCCAAAATTGTTGCCGCTGCAGCAAGCGGCCTCAGGCCGAGCCTCCGCTTTCAATACGTTCGCGTCCTGCACCCACTCAGTCTTCGCGTCTCCCCCCGCCTGGCGACATTTGAAAGCCGTACCGCGTCCTGCAAATTCTCATAAACCTCCCCTCTGAATAATACGCACTCAGTCCATAAACCTTCCCCGCTTCTACGTGTCCCCAACCGAAGCCAATTGCACCCACCACCACCCCACACTTCTTCAAGAAAACTGTCGAGTCCTCGAAGGCCCGGTCTATAAATCACGAAGAAGACCTCAGAGCGTGAAGATTACTCTGCCCCGCCTTTCACTTCCTTGCCCTTCCCTGCCTTGCGGGGTTGTTTCCTCCCTCGGCCTCACGCGACGGTACGAGAGAAATGGCGGCTGCAGTGGCTGGCGCACTCGAGTCGGGCTCGCTGATGCTGCTGCTCAATCCCTGACTTCTCTCGACAGCTTCGCTCGTCCACCACCATCTCTCTCATTCGACATCCGAGTCCCTCCTTTCCTTCCTGCGCTTCCTTCCTGTCCTCCCTCGCCGACCACTCTACGAGCCCGGGCCGCGGACAATCGACACCAATAATAACTCGCTCGAACCTTCCCGTCGTCCACTTCCTCCTCCCCCGCTCCCCCGCGAATATTCCGCATTCATTCTCCATCTTGTCTATTGGACGGACCACGCTCCCTCGTAGAACGCCAGCCAGCGCCACTCCACGTCCTGAACTCGGATCATCGGGTGAGACGAGACGAGACCGGACCCCGAGGGACGGACCACCGGTCCGTACCGGCATGGGATTGCGCTGCGCTCCGGCCGGGACAGTACCGTAGTAGGTCCCAGAGTCCCTGCTGTGGGTCAAAGGGCCCGATGGCGGACGATGTAGATAATGTTCACGTGAGGCCAAAGGCTTTCTTTCCACGGCCCTGTGTTGGGTTTCGTGCTTGGCACGCCGAGCGCGCTCCGCCACCATCCATCCGCCGCAGTTCACTGCAGTTCGCCAGTTGGCTGGATTCTTCACTCCCGCCTCGCTGCGGGCTACGGCGTAACCCCGCTTCGCCCACTGCGCTGGGGCCAGCGAGCCTCCTCGAGTCACGCTCACGCGAACCACAAATTGTGCCTCGTGAGGTCGTTCGCCAGTTCTCTGAGATTGCCGGAGGGCGGCTGTGCGACGTAGGATTCGCGGATTGGAAGGCGCAAGACTGAAGCGCGCGTGGCTGAGCAGACAGAGTTTTGTCTGCGAGAGGATTGCCGGTTGGTTGGGAACAATCAATCGCGACGACTCTCTCTCTCCCGTGACGTCGATTGTGACATGGGGCACGGACGGGATTTATATAGCTTGCAACGCATCGGCTCGTTCGCAACATCGAACTCTCGAAGATTGCAGCATCGGGGCGTCCGTGCGTGCGTTCGTCTACTAGCTTCACTCTGCTCTGCATCCGTCGCACTGAAGGCGGCAGAAAGAGGCCGTGAACTGAGACGACAGGACCTTCCGATAGACCTGGAGTGGACGGGTATTTCTGCGCAGCTCCGCAGATTGTTTCTCATTTTAGCTCAGGCTTTTAGCCGGGTTTGAGGGAGTGACGTCTAAAAAATTCGGGGGCGTACGTGCCATGAGCCTGTCTTTGAACAGAGAAGAAATCAATCGGTGGTTCTGTCCTAACGTAAAGCTTTGGAACATGCGGAAGTGAGGCTACCAGAGATCTTCAAATATAGAATATAGGGTTTGTCAATCTGGAGCTCTTGGCTGGTGCGTGTTGCGGCTGATTCTCCTGACTGAATTCGAGAACGGCCCTGTGGCTCTACACGACGGATCAAAGTTTTTATGTCCATTATTTTCTTTCAAGATTTCCTCTTTCAAATTGGAATGAATGTATAGTAATGATGTGCTGCACGCGTAGATTCCAGACATTTTTTTAAGGGCGGCCACGTGGAAGTACGTAGCTGTAGGAGTTCAAGCAAGTGTCAGGTTACGCCCTTTTCTCTTACAGAGCGTTTCCAGAGTCCACTGATACCGTACGTTATAAGTACAGTACTGCATCATCCTTCGGAAAATCTGAATTTATTTTCTTGCTATCACGAGAAATGGGAGAGGTACAGAGAAACAAAATGAATGTCAGGGACAGTGAAAAGCGACAGAGAAGGACTGCCGACAAATTAATCTCGACATCATTCCCGCTTCTGATTGTACGTACAGGTTAATGAGGAATTGAAGAAGCTTGCCAGATGAATATCGACGTTATCCATGTTACTTCATTAACTCATGTCAAACAGGAGACTTTCGAGCGGAGGGCCTGCGCACGGCATATTGGCAAGCGGCAGACAACCTGAACTGGCGCGATGGGTTCATGGATGTGTAGATGACGAAGGAGCTTTTATTCGACATAAAGACTCACTTGTTATCCTCAATCTTTTCCATTTGTCTGAGCTATTGGCCTATGCACAGAGGTTTTTCATCTTCCGAAAAGGGCTGGCAGGATACGGGTGAAGTTAAAAGGATGATAACTCATTATGTATTTTGAGCAGTGCTACTCGTGTGCATAAAGACACGCTCCAGACGAGTGCAAAAGGATGATAACTCATTAGGTTTTTTGAGCAGTGCTACTCGTGTGCATAAAGACACGCTCCGGACGAGTGCAAGACGAACCGCTCTAGGAACTAGAACAATTTTTGTCATCGGTTCTTTTGGTAGCTACGAAAGAAATTCAGCGTACCTTCACTCAACAATTTCTGCAATGCAGCCTTTGGAGCGAGAAGTTTTACCATCTCTTCATAAAGGTTTACTAGCTTTTATTCTTGTTAGATTTATATTCTGAGAATGAAGAAATAGATGGGACTCTAAGCAAACTACTGAAAATGAATGACAGTGTCGCCTACAATCCAAAGTAGCCACTTTAGAGCAAAGTTGGTGGATAGTCCCCAAAACCATTCCCACTATGACCAACTCTTCGACATGGTGAGGTGTTCCAACGATCAAAAAAATACACGCCAACATACGCGTTCCATCCAATGTAAATAATGGGCAAGACTGACTCGTTATGGTTAAAATGCTTCCTACTCTCCACCAACTGATCCCGATTTTAAAATATCGAAGGAAAAAATAGAAGGGCAGTACTTTGCTATTCGAACCCCCTTTCCGTGCCTGTCCAGGTAAATCTGCAACCATATCTTTGAGCAATGACTAGTTTTCTTGCTTATAAAACCTCCTATCCAAATAATATGATCGAATAATGATTCATACTCTACACTTTCTACAAGTCCCGGACCACAAACAAAAGTGGTCGACTATACTGTACAGTAACACAGCCTGGGGCATTTCAATTTATCATGCCTTCTATTGACCTCGTCAAACATTCACTAGACACCGTCAGCTGGTATCCCTAATGGGTGTCTAGTGTGCACTTTGTTATCTTGGCTTCATGACTGTCGGTCACCTTTGCTACTTCTTCTTGAACTTGAGCTACCAGTACTGCAGACACAAACAAAGCTTGATTATAAATAGCAGCATAATAACCACAAAGCGGGAACTTCAAGTCTCCACCGACTCGTTTATGCTCCAATAGATGTTCACTAAAGTGCCTGGAAAGAGAGAAGACTACATTCATCTCCAACCCCATGAACTAAATTGCTCCTTCAAAAAGTTTGGCAAACCAAGTCTGGAACGCCCAGCGCTGGTTCCACTCCGCAGAGGTGGAGCAACCTCAGCTAACAAGTTTGATTCTCACATCCCGCAGGCACCCTAAGCCGATAAAAACTCCAGATTTTACAACCAAAGGAACCACACGTAGTCTACTACTTCAATTTGGAAGCTTCCTGTGATCATATTTGGTGTCCATGTTGGGCATCCCTATTTCTGGGTTGCTAATATCTGCCCGATTCTGTTGAGTTTCTTGTACGTCAATAAACATGTATATTACACCTATAAAGTACACGATTTTGTCAACATTTGCACCCTCCCTATTTCCTCGTCGTAGTTGAGATGTTGCTTCTGAAGGTTCGCTACAAGTGTCTGCTAGAGGCATCGGAATCAGGCATTTAAGCACAGTCTTACTAACAGTTGTCATGTAGAACGCCGAGGAGAAGGGCTTAGGTTTGCCAGTTACTTCGTAATGACATCCATTCTAAACCCTGGACAATTTGTCATCCTAAGAGAGACCTACCTATGTCCTTCAAACCAATTCTGGTTGTAGATGACGAAAAAGTTACGGCCGCTGGGGACAACACTGGGGACATCACTGGAGAAGATGTAAAGAGTAAGTCCTCCCCACGACGGATCAATGATACCAAGAGCTACAATGAGCTATTCCAGACGAAAGTCCCGATAAGGCGAAGAATTAGAAAGGTACAATGAACTGGTCAGAACTTACCTCTTGACACTTTCTTCATCATCGATATCTGGAAGGGGTAGCTTCCAGAAATTCCATTCATTGAAGTCCTCCTATAAAATTCACGACCAGAATAATCCTCCAAAACAGTTAAAAGTGACCATGTTTAAGTTTTAACAAAAATCATACTCTTCACTGCAGTTATCCTTCTATGAGACGTTGGGTAAAAAGCAGGTCCTTTAGATTTTGATAATCTTCTTGCATTTAATTAGGACAAGAACACAACAAAACCACAACCTAGCAAGAAAAAATACAACCACTCGCTAGTTGTACCCTATTTTTTGCCGTCTTGCCGTCTTTCCACGATTTTGTAAACCTCACTACATTCATAAGTCGGTTCAAAAGAACTTGCAAGCGACCGAAAAATTTCCAGAACGGCCTCGCAAGATAAGAGGGGGTATAAACGTAAATAACATGATTTGAATCACAGAACAAGCCTACGAAATAATACCTGCTCGGTGAACGTCATTGCTGGAAACATGTCATCAACAAGTTTGTGGATAGAGGTGTAAGACTTGACATCAACCTGATTATTCACCGATACTTCTCCCTGCAATTCCAAAATAGCAGATTCAGAATGTATAGAAAGGAATTAGTGACCTGGTGTGACTCACATTCAGTTTATATAACCTGAGATATATAAGTCTGTCTAGAGTATATTGTAAATCTCAGCTTTATAAGCAGACCTCCGACTTTGCAAACTCCACTACAGGACTCCTAGATTTTGTAGAACGTTAAAGCCGTACCTTAGGATTGATAATAAAAATCTTTCCCTTCGAGATTCCAACTTTTAGGTAGCTCAACTCGTCGGTATCACGATTTCCAAACCCTGCATAAAATGGCTTGCTCTCTGGAGGAAATAAAGACTTTATATCCTACAGCACATACATGCACCCGTAAGCGTCTCCATGACCAAGAAGATGTATATTGCATTGATTAGAGCACTAATCAATGCAATGATCATCGGGATCAGAGTCATGCGAAAGAAACAGAAAGCTGAGGTTCAAAAAAGGGACCATGAAATCCATAATACGATTCTTACTAAGTCATAAATTATTTTTTAAGTGAGCAAGTGTGTTGGGCTATGTGCACACATGAAGTCTAAAAATCTGAAAATAGAAAACGAAGGCCCAGAAGTAATTTTCAAAAACAAGCAAGGTACAAGTCATGCTAGCACAGCTATGAACCAGCAATATACATTTAAATACCTCTAAGCAAGCTATTTTGAATTCGTGTGGAGCCCTTCGAATAACTGCAATCCAGAGGAAGCAAACAAGTAGGTGTAAGACTCATTCGCTTCATCCCATATTCAAAATGAAGCATATATGAACAGGAATTTAAAATGAAATCACATGACAAAGCCTCCTCCACCATGGATAATTCAACAGATTCCATGTGAGAACTAGCAGCTCTCCAGTGCCTTGATCGGATGTCTCTAAACGTGCTTGAAATCCTTCCCCCATCGCCACACCAGAATAAACCCCCTGTGGGAATGTTTGATATTCACAAAGTGCCTCTACTCGCACAAGATTACGAACTTCATGAGATCGGATCTCACCTTCTCGATATAGGGAGGGAAACAACCCATCTGGAGATATGACTACAGGCCCATCAGGTAGTACTTCTCCATCCTGTTAACAATCATAATCAACAGATCAATTAAATCACCACATGTGATACTACAACGACGAGTAAGAATGAGATGACAGACCCTTTCTCAAAAGCTTCTCATATCTCAGAACTTAATTAAATTTGTTGAGTATATTTGAAAGACAAGAACTCGTGCGTCAAGGTCTTATGTTCTTCTTCGAGGACATGAGAACTTTTGATAATATTGGCGTGAAGCAAAAGCATCTTACTTTATGTTCTTACTCCTAGAAAAACACATGGGAACTCGTTAAAATCCACAACATGATGACTTTGAGAGTTAGACATCGCAGGTATATACAGTAAGTGACAGTGACGAGCACAAATATATAGTATGTAGAATCCAGAAAAACTGACATGACCATTTTTTTTACCTGTCTGATATTCTCGAGAAACTGCCTGGTGAGGTATGCTTGAGAGATTGCACGTGCACTTAGAAACATCAGCTCGTACCCATTTTTCTACATCAAGTAAACAGGTCATATTTTTATCGATGCTGCCACTCTAGGTCCAGTTTGACACAACTAGTAAAAAAAAATTGTTCTCAACGTAATCGGTACTTCACCCTAGTTTGATTAAGACAAGGCCCAAACAGGGCATATCTTAAAAAAGGTTACTCACAACAATCGAGGTAGAAACATTAATTGCACATCGAGATTACCAGTGTTTAGAAGACTAACCACTCCTCGCTAAATCGCTATAAAAGTGAAGTAAATGCGGAGTAAACTACCACAATATCGCCACACTGATAGCAAGTGCATCTTACCTTGATAGCAGAAAAGAGTCTAGCAACCCCAGATTGTGTCCAGTCTCTACCAACCAAAGGCATAACCTGACCTAAAACATCTGACCTGCGATTACGCCAGAGTCGCACGGACGGTAAAAAAGTTGTAATGATGAACAAGCCACTAAAAGAGCGCGTAACAAAAATCACAACCTACGACCTACATAGTCATCCTGGATAAAATCTGGAAAAGATATTCGTGCATAGCAACAGGCATAGATCTAAAACGATATAGATAAACCACATGATCGTGGAACCTTCACCTAAATAGAGTGGGAGGTTTCTTACTTTGTTATAGTTCCGTCCACATCGGAGATTACAATGCGCGTATTCCACTTCCATAGATAAATCCGGGCGTCAACCTGCACAATGAGTAATCATCGTTTCTGAACATCTACCCGAAATACAAATCTTTCAAACATTCTGCACTTGAGCCATCACTTCGTCAATCGAACGGTTTAGCCTTTCCAGATCCTGCGCGTAGTCAGGTATCAATATACGATACACGATGGAGATTAAAGTCCAAGGCAAAGAAGACTCGTTCAGAAGAGTTCCTATAAGGCGGATGATTCACATGCATCCAACACATAAGAACTCTGCTGAACGTCATTGCCAACAATGGTTTAGGTACTTTTAGATGAAAATGAATTTGATAGCTGTCGGAACAAGATGGTTCATCACAAATTTACAAAACTCTGAAGCCGGAAAAAATTACCTGCTGTTTACCAAGAACCCGCGTGACAAAGGTGAAAGTTATTTTGTTACTTCCCTCCTTGAGACCTAATGACGCCAGCTGCTGAGAGCTTGGGCTATTGGTTCTCACTTTTCGTGGCTTTCTATAAAAGCCATTCCGCAGCATGATCTCTTTTGTTAAGCAGCTACTGATTGCAGCATCAGTAGCAAGCATCAAGGCCTCGCTGTTCCTTGGAAGCAAGGTGGCAGCGCTCACTTGCTCAATTGGCTTCGTGGTTCGAGTGAATGGCCAGATACCGAACTTCCATCCGCCGCTCGTTGTAGCGGTCAAAGTTCCGGCAGCCGGCTTTCCATCGGCGGCCACACCAGGCTCTTCCCCTGTAATAGATCCTTCTGCAGGAGGGGCAACCCGTACCTGACCGATGGCCAGAATTCCAAGAACTTCAGGTGCTGCAACTGTCCAAGGGTACAGGCGTCCACCAACCACAACTACGAGCTTGTCATCTGCAGCAATTTCTGCAGAAACGGGAATATTCCCTGAAACCTCAGCAGTTTCAGCAGACGACGAGCTTGCCTCTTCACTACTTGGAACTGCATTCGTGACCTCGTTCTCTGCAGTAACACCATCTTCCGACAGCTCCACAAGCTTAGATTCGGCACAACTTGGGGTTCTCGCAGGTGTTGAATCGTTATCCGAAACTACTCTAGACAAAGAATTGAGAACTGCTTTAGCAACAAGAGCACTTGCTGGCCCTGACCTTGCGGTTTCTGGAAGACCTATGGCTCTATTTAGCAACCGATGAACAACCTTTCCCGCAAGAGTTGATTCCCAATCTGACACCGGTCTATCTTCTGTGGTCGCTGTCTTTGGAGACACAACTCTTTTCAAAGATTTCAGAGTTGCACTAGCCAAGAGAGCAGAAGATGGCCCGGAAATCGCATCCGCTTGGAGACCAACAGCTTTATTCAGCAAGCCATGAATAACTCTTCCACTGTCGCTTACAATTTTCCTACCTGGATCTTCGGTTTTATCCAAAGTCCCAATCTTTGTTAAAGAAGCACCGGTGAGGGACCCTAGAGCTGCATTTGCAATGAAAGCGCTAGCTTCCGATGGACCTTGAGAGGAATCTAAATCTACAGCTGGATTCACCAGATTCTGGACTTCTCCACTCGCTTTCGTTTCCGGGGTCCCAACCTCTGTAAGTGACGCACCGGTCGGAGACCCAAGCGCTTCAAATGAAGTGAAAGCGCTGGAATCTGGTGGACCTTGAGGAGCTTCCGTATCTACAGCTGGATACACCAACGCCTGGAATTCTCCACTCGTTTCCGCTGTCAAGGTCACAAGCTCTGTTTGTGAAGCACCATTTAGGGACCCAAGCCCTGCATTTGCAGTGAAAGCGCTTGAGTCCGGTGGACCTTGAAGATTTTCTAAATCTACATCTGGATGAGCCAAAGTATGAATTACTTTTCCACATGTTTCTGTTTCTATATCCATTCTACAAGCGTCTGCATAAGATCTGTTCTCCGAATCCAAAGACAACAAATCATCTGTACAGGTGGCTTCCCTACCCACCAAAACTTGGGGAAAGCCAACGACATCAGTGATATTCCCTTGAACTTCGGTACTATTACTTGCTAGCTCACGCACGGCAGCTGCTGCTCGTTCATCTCTGAGCTGTTTTGAAGCTTCTCTGCCTTCAAACATGAGCTCCAGGTCGTCTCCTCTCTCATCCTCACTTTCTTCCTTGTCCAAATCAGCCTTTGTAACCAGCCCGTAGTCGTCTTTACAACCCTCGATACCCAGAACTCCGGCAGAATTTTCAACACGAGACGAGCTAGCCTCGTTAGGGTAATGTGATTCAGAATCTTCAATTTCGAGAAAAGCATCCAAGTTCAAGTCGTCCTTAAGGAAGTATGCTTCTCCCTTGTGATCCAGATACATTTCGAAATCAGCATCGACATCATTGACTGCCACAATCACCTTCTTCTCTCGGCGCTTAAGAACCCCTTGAAATTTGCCAAATTTGACATACCATGGTGAGCTCTTGTACGTGCCATCCTCCTGTTGCACCACGATAATGTCGACTGCACCCCCAAATGGATGGAATGGCCCGGAAAAGGTGTAAACACCTTGTGCGATATATGTGCCTACTCTACCCACGGTCAACATTTTCCTGCTGTTCGAAATTCTGCTCAGACCTAGACATTCACGGTCACTTACATGCTATGGAGCGAGTCTCTGATTATAAAAAACGTTCAAATTCATATAAAGTATTAGGTGAAACCTCTACAAGTGCTTTTCGTACTGAAAACAGAATCTTCGTTGTTTAATGACCGTGGATGCAGACGAGAGAAGGCAGCAGCAGAGCAGGAGTCAGGACATGCTGAATAGAGCAAGCTCAGCTCTCGCAACCCAGATATGATCTTAGGTCTAGCCTAGCCATATCTTATACTCGGTTCGAAACATCAAATGAGACTTCGGGGGCTTGGATCTCGAACAACGGTGTCGTCAAAGCAGATCCTCAAGCTTCGCATAGACAATATGCGACCATCTCCTGCCCAGACGGAAACTGTACACCCGTCTTTCATATCATGCCATATGTCCAGCTCATTAGATTCTGAGGCAGGACGAGAAGCTCGAAGCTGCCACTGGTGATCCACTATCCAATCCACATTGTTTGAGAACGAGAATGGCCCACCTGCAATTCTATTCGGGTTTCTCTGCAAAGTGCTTGATATCTAGCCTGCTGATGTCGTGTAATACTATCTTGACCATCATCTCGTCCGCCCAACCATCAGACACGGTCTCCCTCGCTCGCCCGCTCCCTCTCTATGGCTCGGCTCTCTCGATCATCAAAATTCTCTGCGCAAGTCCTCCTCTTCCTCCTCGTCCTCCTGACTCTGCCCAAATTGACTACCAACAAACAGAACAAATCCAATCCAGTCAGCGTCCACCTTCTCTTGCATGGCTCGCTCGCTTGCTTCCTGCCTTCCTTACACGCCCGGTCAACAACGACTCCGACCAATCATCACACCAAACCTCGGCCAAACCCCACACGCCATCGCTTCTCTCCGAGTCTCCCTCTCCTTCGCCCTCTCTGCGTCTTTCACTGCTCGTCGATCAATCCAATTGGACGTGATCGAGATCAATTCCTTTCAGCTCCCGTGCACGGCCGCGTCCCCTCCTCCACCAACTAACCTCTTACCTTCCGATCGAGATTCTGTCTCCTCATTCAGCTCGACCTCCTCCTCCTCCTCCTCCTCTACTCTTTTCTCCCCTTCCTCGTCCTCTCCTGCCCTCCCTGCCCTTCGCTTCCCTTCCCTTTCCCTCAAAATTCCGCAAAATGCATAAAACAAAAGAAACCTTCCTGCGCTTCTGCTTCTTCCTAATCATGTGCACAAGGCCACTACAAACTGCACACGTAGTACCTTCCCCGAAATCTGCCACCACGCTCACCGCTCGATTCGTAGATCGGACGGGCAGAGCGCTCCCCGCTGGAAATGTTCCAACTGCGTCCGATGCCTATCTGACGACAACGTTGGCCTCGCGAATATGCTCGGGATCGAGCATATACGACCCGTTTTCGCTTCTCGTCGCCCGTGTCTTTCTTGAGCTTCCCACTTGACCCGTTCAAAGACTTGAAACTGTGACGATGAGTAAAGAAGAGTTCCGTAATTGAGTGCACGCTCGGATGTTCCATGCTCGCCCTTAAACGTTGCCTGCTCCAAACGAAACAGGAACGAAGTCTTGCTCCGTCGACCTGTCAGCGATCTCAACGATGTTGAACTGACCTCGTTCTGTCTGTTTGATCTAGCATCTATCTTAGGCTCGTGAAATGAAGTCACTCCGGCTTTATTAAGCGTGTGCAATCTTGCCACTCCACTAGAATATGCTATAACTCAATATTTCAGTTTTGTTGCCGAAATTTCCCGCGTGCTTCTGAATATAACTTTGACTTCAACTTGCTACAATTATCCATATCGTAAAGTACTTTGGCGAACTTTAATTGTGATCGTGATGTACAAAATCTCACTTTAAGTGAGTTGACACATATGCACAGAGAATGAGAATTCTTTACACAGATATTCACGTCAGATTAAGCATGCAAAACGTGTGAAATCACAATGCCTTTAAACATAAATTGTATGTTGTAGAAACTCTGAATAAAATCCAGTATTAATATGACCTTTCTTTTATCCACAACTCAATAAGGGTTTTCCATCTGCTATTACGAACAGTTTATTTTGGGCATGGAGGAGATGGGCGTGACAGACATCTCCCATCTAAACCCACATTAACATCATTTTCAAATGATTAGAATACATTTTATCAGTTGCATGTTCCTTTGTTAAATTTCATTATGTACTAACAAAATAAGCATTTATAGACCTGTCCTAAACTATCAAGTTTAAAATTTATCTTTTTACTTTCTTTCCTAAAAGATTACCATAAAATCGGATAAATCAAAATCTACAGATTGCTATATTCTCAAAGAGAAATTGATTAAGGAAAAAAATTATAAAAGAAAATTTTTGTTTCATAATAATAGAAATCGAGTGGTTTAATCGTTATTCCAGTCTTTTTATAATTACATTTTTTATATTTAATTAAATAATTCATACCATAAATCAACAGATTTCTTCCATAGCTCAGTCTGTAAAAATAACTTTTATATTTATTTATATATATATACAAAAAGAAAAAATACAAATTCCATACCTACTCGAGTTCCAAAAATAAGATGAACTTGAATTTTAAACTACGGTTCGCTTTATTACTTCATTATATTTTATGATGCAAACCAGGAGATAAAATAAAGTGTAAATCAACGAACCAACTTATCCATAAATAGCTCGAGAAAATTTCTGGTTTAATTCACAACATGCATACAACTACAGCAGTTCTGTTAGCAATACAAAAATGTATCGCAGAATGCACATTAAACATGAACATATTTACAAGATTAACGTCATGTTATGCTGTATTTGTTCCCAGAGAAATGTGCAAATCTTTCAAAATTTCAAAACCTTGAGATACCATAATTTTTATTTTCTAAAAATTTTCAAAATCCCGTCTTGTTTAACATTGCTACGTACGTATGTATATTACAAGCTGTGATATATATGAATAAAATTTTTATTTTTTTATGAATAATTTAAAGTTGAGTTCTTGCAGAATTTTAGATCGATTTTAAACATATCAATTCATAAAAAAATAGAGATAAGATTATTTGAATATATATTATTACAAATACTTGTATTCAATTTTTTTTAAATTATTTGAAATTCAAAATTTTTTATTCATTTATTAAATATTATAAATAACATTTAGTAAATGGATGTCGTTTCTTTATGAGCGAAATTTTTTCCTCATAATAACTATATCAATGAATGTCTATAAGGTATGTATGTTTGGAAAGATATTTATCACTTTGATATTTGATATCAATTTCGTAAAAAACAATTACTTATACATCTCATAACATTAATATGAATACTTTTTTCATTTTTATTTATTATTTCTTTTATTACATAAAAAATTTATCACAAAAAAATGTGTTAGTGTTAAGTAAGATACTTGATTTAGTTGGCGTGAAGCTCATATGTTTGTACCATTGTGCATTGAGTAAGTTGTAGTGCAATAGTAATAGCAGCATTGAATCACTGGTGCATTGCTTATTTAGCTGATTTCATGAAGTGGATGTCCAAATATCCAAAAAGGTGAGATTATCAGTCTGATTGCTTGACATGAAGAATGATGTCATCAAGTCTGATACAAAGTCATAATACGATGTACAGCACTTGAACACAAACCCAATCCTAATGTGGCCACCAAAGTTCCTAGAATTTGCCGCTAAAAACATCTCTTTGACAATGCAACATTGACCGAGTGCCGCATAGAGGATTCATAATGTAATTTCACGACTTTATTCAAGTACGCTGAATGATATTTGAGACGAACATTGACATAAGACTATCATGATTGAGACGAACGATTAAATCCTCATTTCTTCAACGAAAGAGGTTATTGAAGAAATCATTTCGCAGAAAGTCATTATTAAAGATTGTGGAGATTTATACAAATGCTTCTATAAATGTATTTTTTATCTTGAATTATTTTAAACTGTATTTATATTCATTAATTTCATTTCTTGCATGCTTAATTTCATATTAAATTTGTACCTTTTTTTATAAAATATATTTTTAACAGTTTTTTGTTGTTTATTATTATGTTTTGGTTTAAACTCCTAGATAATCGTGCTTTAGATCTTGATCTCAGAGTTGAAAATGATTTGGTTGTATAATTATAAAATCCATAGTCGGGGTTAAATTGCTTAAAACATTTGATATATTCATTCTACGAAACTAGGAGTTTTCTAAGAATGTCAAGATTTAAACCCTTCTTATATCAAGATTAAAGTATTTGCGAAAGTTTGGTTTGGATTCAGCAAGTGGATTGAATACGATGAGATGGATATACTATTTTATACATACGTTGAAAATTCAAAGGTATTTTATGGTCATCTGATCACTATAAATATACTCACACTACACTATTTCCTCAATAATTTGATATTCTACGATTATTTGTTATTTAAGTTTTGGTTATGGGTTTGTAGTCAATAGAGTGAAGCATATAAATTTCAAGTTCAAAAATATTGAAAGTAATTGCAGAATATATTTTTGTACTAGTTATAGTATAAAAACTAGTAACCAATCATAGTTGCATACAAAGCTGTAGCCAAAACTGCATGAAACCTCATCAACAAATAACTATGACAGCAATAAAGAAATTTTCCTCTGCAATAAGATTATGTTATGAAATCAACTGCAAATAGTAAAAATTTAGAAAATATATTTACAAATAAATCAATTTTTTACAAAATATATGAAAGAATAAAATTTTTTCGAGGAATAAAAAAATTTAAATAATAATAAGAAAATTAACGTATTTCAAAACTGAATTTTTGGAATAAGATTATTATATATTAGAATAAAGTTTTTTTAAATAAACATGTTACAAGTTAAAACTGAATCCATATTAAAATAAGAAAATATGATTGCAGTTTTTGAAAAAACTGCAATCAAATCATAGTTGATAGACTACTGATGAATATTAAATTGATTATGATTTATATTATAAAATATTTATAAAAATGTAACATTTTAAAGTTTGATTTTCAACTATTGTTGAAAATTTCGTGTCAAATTAAGTGTAAAATATCTCAAAATATGTATTTATTGTCACCTAGAATACATAACTCTATCTACATTAATTTAATGTGATTGTAAATGAAATTTATTTAGTAATTTTTATCGATTAATAAAGTCAAAATTTAAAATATGTAGATAAATGAAAAATGACTGCGTCTTAGTCAAGTTTGATAAAAAAATTTAAACTTCAACTTAAAAAATTATATGCAAATACATTTTTGCTTTAGGATTTATGGGAAAATGACTTTTCAGATTATTTTGCATTTTTTATTGATTCAATCTAGTCTGATCGAGTAGATGAAAGTTACCAGGAAGACATATGTTACATAGACAAACAAAGTTTGTATTATTAAGTGACTGGATAGATATGAGAAAATCTTAAAGGTTATTATGTAATTGATATTAATTTAAATCTGTAAGTGTTTGTTAGAATGATATGTCATATGTGATGTTATTTGGTTCGATTTTTTTCAAATTGTCTTTCATTGTACACTCTAATACATAGTTGATGCATAGATTGTGAGCATCAGAAAAAGTGTTATGATGATTGAATTAAATTTGTACTTAGATACAGAATAATAGCACATGGCTGCATCATCTTCATAATTTTTCACAACTTTTATAGATAATTAGAACTTCTTACAAAGTGAGTTGCAATTGCTACACCAATGAGTACAATCATGATTACCACTGTGAGTTAGAGAAAATTTGGATTTGATCATTCGGGGGATTCTTTTAGTTTAGGTTACAACGAGGGTTTAATACATATAGATTGATTTATTTTTGACTTGTATGCTGTGAAATCTAAATTTTCAGACAAATGATGTTCCTCAAGTGCAGTACTACATGCTGACTATAGAATTTTTCTTTCATCTTTGACAATTAGCTAAATAATACGCAACTAGGTTCGCAAAATATGTCACTTAACATGTTTGACCACACTCTTGTAATAAAGTAATGCTTGAAAAATGTTGGAGAATAGTAGCGAACCCAGGTAAACAGTTGTCCATACATGCAGTTAAGAGAATTAGATTTCTCTCACAATATTGATTACAACGCGATCGGGTCATCTGCGAGCACGTATACAACAGGTGTGGGCTGAATGT